ATTATTATTATTATTAAAAGTAGTTATAATTCCTGAATGTTAACTTCTTTTAATAATTGAATTATTGGCCCTTTATAGAGCTGACGCTGCAGCGTCAGCAATGCTGTTTCTCGAAAATCCCGCAACTATGAGAAAACTGAACGCAGTAGCGTAACGAAATAGTGCGGGCCCGCCCTTTTCCGGCTCTTTATAAAAATGTAGCGAACACCAGAAGAGCTAGTACCTTAAATAATAAAAAAGATCCTTTAACAAATTCATATTCATCGTAATGATCACTCCATAAGAAATGATTGTTACTAACAGATTAAAGTTATATTAATAAAAACTAGTAAAGCCGGATGACACAGCTTGCAACAACAATCGAAAGGCAGTTTGTGTATCGTGTTTATTGTTAACAATGGTAAAGTGCTTATAACCAAATGTAGAAAATATGCCGTTATTATTTAATTTTGTACATTTAAGACAGTTATAAACCCTAAATGAATTGCCTTTACTGATTTAGGAGGGTTACATAAGCTACCGAAATGGAAAAAATGTTGTTTTGGAAGGTTTTTAGTCTTTTATTGCATCAACTATATCAAAGTATTAGAGACAGTATCAAACAATTAATATTTCTTACAATCGCAAACCTTTCAGCCTGAAAATAGGCCTCTTATACCCGGGCCCGCCGGCCCTGCGGGCACGAACCTTACGCCCCTGACCACACCGCAGACGACGCTCTGCCGATAATGAGTTGTCCCGAAAGGTCCTTGAGAGGGGACGTACCCATAGATTCCACAGGCAGACAAGGAGCGCGCTCGTCCTCCAAGACGGCGATAACAGGCCAGCGAGAACGATCGACAATAGGATGGGTTTTTGTCGTACTCTGTTGAAAACATCCCTCTTCTTGAGACGAAATATTCCAGTACAGCTGTAGAGGTATTGTGTTTATGTAGTACCTGCAGCATGTCGACAGATGCTTATAAAATATTGCACCACAAAAACACCGACGCAGACGCACTCGAAAGTACTCCGACCTCCCGCGCAGTCGCCGCCGCTCGATCCGATCAGTTCGGGTGAATTCGCCGCGTTTACTCATTGCGCAAATTCCTTGTCGTACTTGAGAATTATAAAGAGTGAATTAGGCCTGAACTACTTGCCTATAGAATCAACAATGCTGTGAAATAACATGACTTACAGTACGTTCATCAAGCATATTGATGGATTATGCCTTGGCTCCAACTTCTCATACTACAGGTAAATTGTAAAAAAAGTGGTTGAAATATGTATGTTATATCATGAAACAAGTTTTATGTTAAAATAAAATTTGGTGCGCAGTCAAGGTCTCGTATTCGTTCCCAATGAATAGCTAAAAACGAATAGTTGGCGGGTGTTTCACGTAAAACGTGAAGCTGCCCTTCACTCACAGCCGCGAATTTATTTATCTTTAAATTATTCCATTTATTTCTGCATGGAAGTGCGAGCTTTTTAGAGCGAAACATATACAGAATGTAAAACGCAAAACCCAAATACGTACAGTCTACTCAAGAAAATGGAGATGCTTTACTGGAAAGCAACTAAAGCTTGATAAAATTGAAAATGATTTTAAAGATTTAATTTTAACCAATATTAAGAGGAAGTAAAAATAAAATTTAATAAAAACGCACTTAAATAAAAAGATGTGTAAAAAGGCATAAAAAGACGTGTTTGTGTGTGTGTGTGTGTGTATCAAACTAAATATCACTTCGTATAAACGTTTCATTTTCATTATAAATGCACATATATTAAAAGCTTTTGAATCATGAAAATAAAATTTTTCAAAAAGCATTTTCTTAAAAAATCAGATGCCTGTTACATACGTTGTTTGATCATCGCTGAGCACAGTGAACCATTTTCAATGATTTACCTTTATGGCCAGTTTTTCAAGCTTCTGATGCCGCTATCGTCACTAATTTGCGTACGTTAGATTATTGTGAAAAACTATATCACTAATCTTCTTAATTGATCCATCTGCACTCTGGCGTTCCATTTTTACTGTGTAGATAATTATCACAAAATGATACATCGCACTTCTCGTTACCTACCCGAATTCGACATTTAATTAAAGATCAGGAGCATTTGCAATTTTTTAGCAAGAGTACTTAATACATTTAAGAAATTTCTCAATTATTGTATATCAGTCGACAGTGCATTACTCCCGTACATTTTTCTTCCTTATTTCCGAATTTCCTACCCTCTCCTTAAACAACGTTAATTAAATTACGAATAATAAAGAGTGCGGGCGCTGTTGATAACACTCCGGTTCTCGTGCAACACAATCTACGTGCACGAACAACGAGCAACAGATTTGATAAAATTGTACTGCCATCAAAGAATAAAAGCCCAAACTCTTCTAGCAAAATAAGACTTCATATTCAATCTCTGCGTTCGAAGTGTAGTGTAATTCCTTTTTGCGACACCGGCAAATTTACAAAGAAAAAATATAATCCTTTGATGGAATTGAGACAGCTGCTAAAAAAGGATTTAATGTATAGAAAGTTATTATTTTTAATATAAGTATATTATTTATGTAGCCTACGCCTAATTACATAAAACAATAATTACTGAAGTTACTCAAATATTTCTCATTTAAACTAATTAAATATTTTTAAACGACAAATCGCCATTTTAGCTTCTCTTTTATACAAACGCAGCTAATTGTTAATTGGCCTCTACTAAATTTCGACTGCGCAGAAGTCAAAGAAACACTGATATCGGACATTAATAAACATAAATACTATGTTAATGAATTTGTAGGAGATGAACACTTTATGATAATAAACATTGTTATTTTAGGTCAGTAAAATATAATTTTAACTTTTTTCGGTCTTATTGAATCACGAGCTTCGTCTGCTATTTCGTTTCATGTAACATTTTCATCTTTCTTTTGTTAAAGACAAATTTTCATATAAGATTTTATTTTCTACCATAAATTTATTAATAATTGTAGATTAATAATTCTTGAAAACATTTTCAGAGCCAGCTTCTGAGTTTTTAACATGTCCGAAATTTTTATGTCCGTAATTATCTAGCAAGTCAATAGAATTATTCAAATTTCTTAGTAATTTTGGCACATTTAATGTTTTTTGTAATATGTTTTTAAAACAATTGCAATACATTAAATAAGGATGAAACTTGACTTTCATTGTCTCCTCTGTCTTTTGTTCGTTTGAAATAAACGGCATTCATTGCCAGCTTAGCCTCAGTCGCGTCAATCTAGTGTATGTTTGTTCTCCGCCGATTTGCTGCCAAAATGAGTCTTCCTCGAGTATTTTTCGACATCAACGCTGATGGACAACCTATGGGAAGGATTACAATGGAGGTGAGTTAAAAGAAGTATACGTATATTTTATTTAGTGGAATTCTACTTAGTTTTGGTGAATTAACAATCGTAGATTGAGAATGCAAGGATGCACATGATATAGATAGTTCAAATAATGATTAATAAAGGTCTTGAACCAATTGAAAAAGGTGGACGAATATCGTATTACAAAAATTTGAGTTTGATGTGTTCCGAAAGACATTTCAGCCATATTGACAATGGAATGTCTTTCAACAATAGCATAAATGCAAAAATAATTGTCTCTGTAAAATTTGATATCGATCCTGCCGTTTGGATATATATTATATTCGATATACGTTTCATTTCTTGCAGATCAGAATGTCTTGTGATCATTTTTTAACTTTCAAGTAAGGTTGATGTAAGAATTGTTAGGGTACATCATCATTACCGTTAAAAATGAATATGCATCATTACATTCTTGGTGCCACAAGAACGCCTTGGAACGAAAGAAATATCTACATTTCCTAAATCCATTATTGCAATAAAATCTAATGTCCCAGCTGTCGCAAAAAAACGTGCAATTTGCCATAACTTATTTAATTTATTGCGCTTTCAATTAACAAAGCAAGAAGTTCAAATAAAAATATCGCAGTGTATTTAGAACAGTAAGGGTATGTCTGAACTCAAACTAGTTCCACTAGAGTGGATATAGTCAACATATTTTTTTCTAAAATTTCAGAAAATATGCTACTGATAAAGGAAGGAAACACAAATATTTTAATCGTCGTAGATATCACTTACTATATGCATTCTTCCCTGAAAAATGCTGCGACATTTTTGTTGTAAACTGTATTAACTCTTGTCTGTAGAACGTGCGTGGATGCATGAGAATTCAAAACAGATGCATGGATATTCAGTACTGTTAAACAATTGTGCATGTTCCATTTTTTATTCTTTTCAAATTGTATGAATTAAGTTATATTAAGATTTTACAATTGTCCTTGATTTCAGTTGCGATCAGACGTTGTACCCAAGACCGCAGAAAACTTCCGTGCTTTATGCACTGGAGAAAAGGGATATGGCTACAAAGGCAGCACTTTCCATCGTGTTATCCCACATTTTATGTGCCAGGGTGGAGATTTTACAAATCACAATGGCACTGGCGGAAAATCTATTTACGGAAACAAATTCGAGGATGAGAATTTTAATTTGACACATACCGGTCCAGGTATACACAATTCATTTTTTTTTATATAAATTTAAGTGTTCGTGTGCTAAAAGAATGCATTTACAGGTGTCTTGTCCATGGCCAATGCTGGACCGCATACTAACGGCAGCCAGTTTTTCATTACAACTGCCAAAACAAGCTGGCTTGACAATCGCCACGTTGTATTTGGCAATGTTGTTGAAGGCATGGATATTGTGAAGAAAGTAAGTTAATTGAAGTAAAATACAGAAGTTTTCAAAAAGTTTAAACTGGAATATTTAAGGTTTGTTTTATTTTTTCAGTTGGAGTCATTCGGATCTCAGAGTGGCAAACCTTCCAAGAAACTAATAATTTCTAATTGCGGCCAACTTTCTTGAATACACGAAAATGTCTGCAAACGTTTCCCACAATTACATTCACATTGAGTTCATAGTTTTTGGAAAAATCTTAATTGAGGCTTAATAATATAAAATAAAGCTTTACACATCAATTTTCTCTGTTAAACATAAGAAAGTTTTGTAAGGAAAGTTCAATAAACTTCGTTGGACAACTAGTCGTTAATTTTATCATGAATCATTATTTTCTTCTAGATGATCTTTTGATAGAAAAGGATCTACGGGTGCATTTTATTTGTGATAATTTCAGGGAACAAAAATCATTAGTTGCACACATATATGAAAGGAAAGCTTTAATAAAACATTTACAAAACTTTAAATTGTATAATTGTAACCCGATCCAACATGTTTTTTCATCCTGTACTTCCAGCAATTTCTTATAAAATATAGGTATTTATCGGGTAGTTAGGTTTTCTGATAAAGTACTATAATAATTAAAAATAAAGTTTATCGGGCGTCAAAACCTAAAAATAACTTCACTGGTATCCAGTGAACGATCAATATCGAACATAAAGATATTGTAAGAGAGCAGCAGCAGCGGGAAGACCAAAAGTCTGCGTAGAACCAAGAGCCACTAGGATATTGTACAGGTATTGTAGTTGCTCTTGGACGGGTAATAAAAAGTATCTATTCAATCGAAGCAGTTATCGCGTTTTTTCATTGCGTAACTTCCGCCTCCTCTGCGGAAATGGAGCGACTTCCATCAGAGAAAGGATCCAACCTGCTCCAGTAATTGTATCTAACCACTCCGCGAGCGACGAAGGCCTTCAGAATCCTAGAGAGGTGCCTCTGAGGTAACCAGTTATACTCGCGGTCATTTCAAACCATTACAATATTTTTTTTCGACTTCATGTGAAATGTATTCGTTACAATATTGCCGCTTTACTAGACTGCTGTAAAAAAATTAAATTGGAATCGGGTGAAACACACTACACAAATAACGGTTTTCTGGAATAAGTGTATCTCCATGGCTTTATCAATTTCCGCTGAGTTGCAGATACATCGTTATTTGTCGTGATGGAGATCGAAATTGTCTTATTTATTAATGTTGCAACTACTCGTACAATGTTATCAGCGAAGTGATAATTAAAATTTTTCTGTAGTGCTGAATGTGTACGTATTTTAGTTTGACATTCTTGAATAACGTATTAATACAGCTGTTTTCCCCAAATAACTACCACCGTTGCATCCAAAATACAAGGAGTTTATAGGGTTTCAACTCAAAAGGTCCTACTATTTACCAAACTACCCCCAAAAAAATAAACAACTCCTTTTCAATTAATTAAAAAAAGAGAAATGAGATTTTTTTGGTATAATTTGATTTTACTGGTGCTCGATCAATGCGGAGCAAATGAAGTGAGGAAATTAAATAGCGCTAACTTAACAAAGTTTTTTTTCCAACAGTGAAGGAAATGCGACGATATGAAAATGAGATGTAAAGTTCAGAATTTGCGACAAATCGTACTCGTCAGACACGAAAATTTCCATTCCAAAAAAAATGATGAGCAAACCAATCCTATGGGCTGTTGTAAATGTGCCACCAATAGATGAGTAGGTTTTTTCTGCTGCATGTCTCTAGTACTATGTAATTGGGTAATTATCCATTTTGAATCAATCACCGAGTGTTGAAGTGTTCTGAAGACCCCAATACATCGAGGTCAAACATCGATACAATTCAGACAGCCATTCCCATAAATAGCCGCGGCAGCATTCCAAATTTGAATGGAATTTGCACGTATTCGTTTTGCAAGACACAGTAAAGTATCAAAATGTTTTAGGATTCAAAAAATTCTTTCATTGACTGTTCGGTTGCTTCAACGTCACCTAAATTAGCACTCTAATGAAACAGACGTGTTGCATTTGCGCTGTGGGAGAAGAGCACCGCGCTGGACTGAGCGACAACTAGTGCCGAAAATCCTTTCGTTGTAGGGACTCGAACCTTAGGGCTTTCCGGCCAGAGGCACTGCACTTACATCAGTTGATAACGCAAGTTTGTGGAGCTCAGAAAGGCGAGGAAAATCCATTTCATTATGAATACGCACAATTTATTCTGTGTTGGGTCTGGATGTGATGTGTCTTGCTATCAGGGATTATGGGTGCACGATTTAGCAACGTTGCCTACAGTTGTTCAACCGTTTCAGAAGTGAACGATCTCTTCCGGCCTTGGGAGAGAGTCATTTTTAAAAAAATTGTTTACATATGTAAAGTGTTTCAGAAGGTCGGCGTTGAGTGTTTCGTGAGCGAAAAGTGTAGAGCAAACAGTATGCATGTCACGAATCGTTTTAATGAACGTGATAAAAATTGATATTAATATTGTACAAGCCGAGAGCAAGAAATGCCTAACAAGTAACACGGCATTTCAAGTCCCAATGGTCTTCCATGCTGGTTATTTTGCGTACGTCTTCAAGAGGGCACACAGTCTTGTTGCCTTTCAATGTGCATCTAATGGTTCCCAAAAGATATTAGCTCCAACGCCCGCATTCACGAATTTAATCGTGTTTTTTTTTTCATCTGGCTGAACGATTTAATCCTTCCTAATTTACAATGTACGATTGTTAATAAATGCCAAGAGCAATACCAACAAAAAGAAACCAATACATCCAATTTTCAATTTCAAAAACCGCCTACTTGGCAGAACATTACCGTTGTATACAGCAACTCTCACCTCGGGTTGGAGCCCCGACGGTGACAATTTATACACTAGCTTGATTGCTAGGTCGAATTCAGCCGTTGCCTAGAGGAGCAATCTAGCGGTCGTCTGCTCTGATAGGTACCACTACCAGGCGAATTCCGGAGCAGTGCCCAAACAAACGAGCCAGTGGCCGCGCGCAATCTTTCCTTCTTCATCCTTGTCCTATCCTCTCCCCCTCCTCAATCGCATCACACACGTCAGGAGACCAGAAGCTTAGAGCTTATCCCGGTAGGGGCGGTGTCCCACTAGGGGATTTACCGTAATTCCTCCGCAAACCAACGTGTAGGTCAGTACCGGATTTCAGCGTTCAGCTGGAGAGGAACCCTGTCGCTTCCCAGGATAAAACATTCTCTTCACTAATGGATGCAATGCCCTTCGCAGTTGACATTTCCGGATAAATCATTCAACATCGAACTGTGAACGAAATTTTAAATTAATCTTGTAACCTCTGGCTCTCCGAAAGTAACTTCTAAGATTGGAAGTCCACTCCAAGACGATGATTCATAGATCATTCATTCCAACCACGTCCCGAAAATAGATGTTTTTCCTAGACATACAGGCAACGCATATTCCGTCTGGCTACAAAGGTGTAAGTTTCCAGGAAAAACAAAACAATATTTTTCATGTAGGAAAAAGATTCATTTAGGTATTTTTGTTGAGCACCGCAGAGGGGAAAGTGCCGGAAGCACGCACTGATGCGTGTTTTCAGTAGCTGTTACCGCAACATTAACGACTAGGCGGCGAAATCTCAGAAACCTTGAAAACGTGTCTTGACCAAGGCATGCCATCTCTATGCAGTGTACCGACTGAGGTTAGCATAGAGCCACATCGTCTGTTTCTGCCGCGATTTGGACCGTGACGCCCTAGGGTTCGAGCCCCAACGGTAGCGGGTTTTCTACAGATAGCTAGGTCGAATTTAGCTGCTGTCTGGAGGAAAATTCTAGCGGCCGGGTGCTCTGATCTACAGTTTTCTCTGGTTTCTCCAATCAACACCAGGCGAATGAGGGTCAGTACCCTAATAATCGGACTATGGACCACGTGCTATCTTTCCGTCCTCTTCCTCGTTTTATCTCCGTTTACTCACACGCACATCGAGTGTATTGCCATTTACATTACTTTTTCCTTTTTTCTGTTTTTGCTTTTTGAGTCTATTCTTTAGGTTATTTGGTTTGTTTATGAACTTTTATTACTTGTTTAAGGCCAACTGAGGAGGAAACTCCTTGTGATTTTATTTTCTCGCCATACTACATACATACGTAATAGAGGGGGGAAATTCTAATGTTGCGGGTAAAATCAGCGGTTTTTCTAAAGAAAAGCGCGAATTGCGAGGCCTTGGTATCAAAAAGTGAATGTTACACAGATATGCGTTTTGATGTAAGCCAATTTTTCGGTATCACGAATCCACGAAAAGCGATTGTGAGAACACAAAGTGTTTGAAGAAGGACTTTACTACATCAAAGATGTATGCGTATGTTGTATGCGAGAAATTAAAATCAGATCAAAAACATATTTAGCAGCACTCAACACTCAGATTTTCCTCAATTCGAATTTTAAAAAATGGAAGAAAAATTAAGTCAGTGTTTAGAAAGATTTAAAAATGCCGCATTGGCTTTACATCACCAAACCGTCGATCGCAAGCTACTAGTAGTTCGCTGGGAAATTTTCGATAAATCGCTGCTATACTCAAGGTTGGCTAACCTGAACTTGTGTTACAGAACACAAACAAGTACAGAAACAGATTCACTGGTGAAAAGTTGGGCAACTGGATTCAAATGGAAGTCACTACCTACTCTCCCAACGAAAGAAAAACTTGATGACAAAAAGAGTGCCATCCTTCTCTTTAACAAGTCTGATGAAAAATATTTTCTTATACATAATTTTTTATTAACTATAATTCAATATTTTTGTAATTAGCAATTCCATTTCAATTTATTTTTCTTCTATGCAGTTATGATAAAATTTGTTTTATATTTAATAGAAATGTATGTTTATAGACAATAAACAAATGTTAAGACTTGAAAAAATACTTTTTCTGTCGTGGTTTCATGTTCGCTCACAGTAGGATTGAAATCGGTATGGTTGCTCACAAGCTTCACGAGTTTGGCGACTACTGAAATAGTGTCCCCGAAAATTAAAAGATCCTTTGCCAATTCGCAGGGCCTCGCGTTCATCCAGCCGAACCGCGAAAGGTGTTGCTGGGCAATATCCTGGGTATTGTTACGGGCGCTAGAATTGATTATATATCAATAAAAGGCTTTTCCAGACTCAAAAATGATCCCATCACAATTCGGCATCGGTAAACAAGAAAGTAAGGTTAAAATCGTTTAAAAAATAATTATGGAATCGAATACAAGATATAATTGTAGATTCGATCGGAGATACTTTTTATAAATTCCATATTATAGAAAGATTCATTTCTAAAATAGTTATAATACGAGTCATAAAAATGACTTTTTTTTATTTTGCGAGTAGAAAAGGTAGCCCCACAAGTCCGAGAGGTGCTATACGAGGAGCATTTTTTACATGTGTCATAGTGTTTATTATTTTTATAGTCTTTCTTAATTTTATGTTATATTAATTCAAGTATACACATCCCATAATGATACACTAGCTGAAACCGTGCGATTACATTGCATAGAAGGAAGAGATGTAGAAAAGTTACTATAGACGCTACTGCATATCCATAAATATGTATGTTTTATATTTACCGAGATCTTTACACACATGGATATTGTTTTAGCCTATTATAACAAATCCTGCTATCAACCTTACCTTCATGTTATTACTGAAGTGTTTCATGTCATCACTGACATTAAAAAAAGTAATTTCAGTGGATTTCCAAATAAAAATCAGATCTCACCTCCTTGAAGTTTTCCGTAGATATCACAAGAATGATATATAAGAATGTACATTGAATACTTACAATATATAGTCACAAACAATCGTTTTAACGACCACACAACACGATGTTCTCTGAACAAGACAAACAGCTCTTCCATTTCACCATAGAGTAGAAATACATACCACCATAGAGTAGAGTTGTATCTCTCCTCTATGGATTTCACGCGAACTTGCCAAGTTGCGGATGACGCCATCTTCCCGTTTCCGCTCTAGCCGCGCATTTCAAACATCGTATCCTTTTATTAATTAAGGAAATCTACAATCAACTCAATATATAGTAACCTCCAATCCTATTATTTTTGTTTTTTGGCCTCAATTATTGAAAACCGTTCACAGGGAGCTGATTAGAATTAGATGCCGATTAGCCGATGGAGGATAGACGAAATTATTTTGCTTTCTTAGTTGCATTCGCAGATTTATCTGAACAATTGAGCGTAGTCTCACTTTTGGCACTAGAGCTAATAATCGAACTTTCAGCCTGCTACGCCTGCCCTGAAAGAAATGCTTTTACTAGAGGCTGTCTAAACAGAACATTTTCAACTTAGAAACAATTGGAAAAAGAATATCATATTAGCGTAATAAAATTCATGTTCCTTCAGGGATCCAGTGACCCTTCTTTTATAAAATAAAGATTGTAGAACCAAGAATCGCGTGATATATCAATACAGATACTTGAGTGCTTAGTAACAGTACGAGAATTTCTCCAAAACTTAAAATATTACACATTACGAAGAGCTCAAGTCTTTAAAGCTGGGTAGTAGAAACTTTGCAAATGTTTCTTTCGTAGCTCCAGTCATGAATACTATCTATTCTATGAAAAAGTATCAATTCGGTTTCGAATAGACTTGGATTTGCAATCTAGATTTTTCGCCATTTTGTGTACATAATATTCTGAGCTCTCAACTGACTTTCTTAATTGTTAAGTATATTAACCGAAAGTAAAGTACACCCAGATGATAACTGCACGTCATTCCCAAGAGTGATAACGATTAAAAGAAAGCGACTTAAGAAATTGAATGTACACACAACAATAAACATCCTTTTAATGCCGAAATCAAAGCATTGGTTGTTGTGCGAACCAAATATTCTGCCTTTGCATATTCATTTGCAAGAAATTATTCAACATATTCAATAAATACAATTGTTTCGACTAATACGACAACAAAAATTTTGAGAAGCTATTAAGATACCACTTTTCTAAGACTTTTCTTTGGGTGATAACATTCCACCTGGTCCAATATATGCCGATACAAATGTCACTCGTAATTACTCCACATGTTAAAGAAAATTATTTTCATTTTATGAATGTATTATTATACATTAAAGAATATAACAGGGCTTTTACGAATTGTTCTAGAAACAAAAAATTAAAGGAGATCGAGTGCTTTGCTGAATTTTTCTTGATGCGTTGAGAAAAGCTGTTTCTTGCTTTGCTTTTGCAAATGACACTAATTGTGGTATTTCTGCCCCAAACATCACAACTAGGTTTCACAGTTATTTACATTACAAAGTAAAATGAAAATATATTAAAGTTTATCATTTTAAATGAGGTTTTAAACTTACGCTCTTCAATGTTCATTTGAAATTTAATCATAGCTAAATCTATTTCAAAAAAGCCTAATGCAGGCGTTTCAAGATTGATTAATTATTTCGTAATTCCAGAAGCATAAACTGCAATCATTAGCCCATAAGGATTGATTCCAGGCGATCATTAGCTCATAAGACCATAAGTGAAGTGTGACGTTGTTCCTCACCAGGTATCTCCCTCAGCGGGGCACCGCCGCAGGCAGGATATGCGGTAACATCCCGACATGTGGTGTAGTGTAGATGTGTGTGTGTGTGTGTGTGTGCATGAATTACAAGACGACGTGGGGCACGGATGAGGAAGGAAAGAACGCCGGCGTTCCGTGGACAGTTTGTTACGGTAATGTCCCGGCATTCGCCTGGATGTGATCGAAGATAATAGGAGAGCAGTCAGCTTCTAGTATTATACTCGAGTTGGAACCGGAATCCTAGGACTTCCCGATGAGAAGACAGTGGGGAAGGAACGGCCCGGCAGCAGTCTCCAAGCCAGCACATCTGCGTCTGAGGATGTGTAACGGCGCAATGATTGCCACTGGGCTTCATTGTTGCCGGCGGCGTGGCGCAAGAGGGGAGGCATTCGCGTCGGCCAGCGCGCACCCCGGGGCCGCCCCGCGACGCTCAGCGGCGGCGCAGCGCAGGCGCCAAGACGCTCAGGAGGCGCCGCCGGAGGTCGCTCCGCTTTCTCGAGCTTTCTCCGCGCGCCCGCCCGCTCGCTCGCGGCCACCGCCGCCGCCGCCCCCGCGACCGCCCCGCCGTAGAAAGCAGATGGACGCGGCAACAGGGACTCGGCCGCCCCGAAGCAGAGACCAGCGCCCGTGCAATCTTCTTCATCTCCGTCACCATCGTCAGCATCGTCAACATTCTATCACGTCCTCTCCATTTGCTCTCTTCGCGAATCTGTACTCCTCGCCTGTTGACACAGTTGCCGACGACGTGGTGCGGCGAGGACAGCCGCCGGCCCTCGGCTCGCGGTCCTCGTGGAGGCTCGCGGTTGATGCCTGGGTGCCCGCCCCCGCCCCCGCCCCGCCCCGCCGCGCGCGCCGCGGCCTGCCGACGCCCCCGGGGGTGACGGTGACCCGGGTGATTCGCGCGCCACGATCGCTGCGAGTGCGTGAGTAGTGCGAAAAGTGCGTGAGCTTCTGAGGCCTTCTTCGAGAGCGCTGAGCTCGTCCACCGGCGGCTTCTCCTTCAGCAAACAGGTGAGGGCGATTGCTTCATCTCACCCTACTCGTATTGTTCTTTCCTCGTGTCGCCGTGTTTTTCTTCATTTCAACTTTATGCTTCGTGTTGTTATTTATCGAATGCATCGGTAGTGATTGCAACGTGACTACATGTTCTGAGAAGAGACAATTTTTTTGTGATGTGTGCAATTAACTACTGCATTTTTTGTTTTACCTCCCCATAGCAGTGTACAGTCAGGAATCATACTAGAATCACTTCAACACTACGATCTCAAAGGTTCGGTCGTAAAATTCGTGTTTAAGCTTCTTTTGAGTTGAAACATCGCACATGGTCAGGATAATGGTTCTTTAATGATGTTCCAAAGATAGTTAAGACTGACGCTGCTGGCGAGATTTAAGCATTTTTGTTCCCCCGAAATAGGGATAGCAGATGTATGGATGTAAGTGTGTGTTAGGCGTCAGTAAATGTAATCAGACCCTCACCTCCAATATTAAAAACATCTATTTCTTCAATCATAGAATTTATCCCTCAATTGAAGATCTTTTAATAAATTTAATGCATCTTTTTTTTTAATCTGAGTAATTGTTGAGTATTGACACAAAAAAGAGGAAAGGTTTCGGTAGGCCGTGTATTCTCACTAGTTTATATTGTTCTACCCCTTTCTATTTCGTTTTTACTTTTTCGTAATAATACAATGTGTATATTCCAAGGTAAATATATTTTTTGTAAACATAACAACTGATTTCCTTCACAATATCGGTAATAGTGGTCGTAAATCTTTGATCAACAGTTCATGAGGTTGACGATTCAAAAACCAGAGTCGGGAAACTCGGTTTCTTTAACATTTTTTGTCAGGTCAGTAACATTTTTTGTTTGTTAGAGGTCAAAACAGTGAACTATATGACACAAGTGCCATTTTCATTAACTTTCGAATGTTTCCAAAATTACAGGTTACGTCTCATGTGCACCGTTTGGTGAATTTTTCATGAGTTTGCTGAAGTAATCGTTGAAATCAAGATACAATGTTTCAATAGCACGTAATATGTATCAATAGCACATAATATGTATCGTTACAAGTAATATGAGAAAGAATTGTAGCGCCATTAGTTGTTTTTTTATATTTTGCATCGTATGTTAACGTTGTACCATTACGGATTTGAGAGCCTCTCCCAATATGTAAATTCATAGCTCTACACATAAAATACAATATTGGGTCACGCTGTTAGGGCGGGTTCAAAGAACTATTTTGTAGATCTTTTGCACATGTACAATATAGAAATAGCAGTAACCATTTACTGGGCATATCTCTCAACATGAGGATAAGAAAGAATATATGCACTTCAATTGTACATGAAACAGAACCCCCCTGAAAGGGATTCTTATCATCGAAAGATATTTAATCGCTGTAAAAAAAATGATTATTTGCTGCAATCATTTCTAGAATTCTTCGTGTAATAATACGCTTAAGGAATGACTTACTAAAGCATTTTCAAAGAATGAAAGAGAATTTATGCCCAGGAGGGACAAAGGTTCGAGAATCAGCTCATTCGTATTTTGTTGCCAATCACGAATAGTCGGCTTTTAAATTCTGAGCCCCGTACAGAAATTAATATAGTTCCACTGAATAATAGAAAGATATTTAGTCCTTTAATAATACCTAATTAGAATGTTGGGAAACAATAAAATATTTTTGCAGTACACGGGCTGGTCTTCTTGTACACAATAACATAGGTTTAAAAAATCATTTAGGGAATTACACATTTTTGTATTTAGTACTACTTTAGGGAGTTATAACTATAGTAATATATGGAAAAACATTCTCAAATTTGTTAATAAATACTTTAAAAATATAGAATGACAATTGGGTCACGGTTTTGGCGTGCGTACGAGAAATGACGGTCGTTCACTTTGGGATATTTCGAATTTCCTTTAGGGCTTCAAGGCAGCTTTTGTTCAGATCAGATATACATTTATTTTCCCATTTTTATTTTCCCATTATTATTTCCTTTATTATTTCGTAGGCAATTTAGATATTACAGCACCAATGATTTTCTTAAGTTCTGAAAAATTAACGTATATTATTTGGAGGACATAAAACCAAAATCAATATTGATAATTTGAGAATATGAACGTAAGAACAGAATAGATTCATAACCAAGAATTCTAAGTTTAGTAGAAGCACCTAATGTACAACAAAGAAAAAATAATTTGGCTAAGAATAACTGTTCCTTACAAAAACATAACTTAATATTCTAGTATAAAATATATCTAAGAGCTATTTACATGTTAATTGCTTTCTAGAATCTCCCTTCTCCGGAAGTGGAAATCTTAGAAGTGAATGTCTGTTTTTGCGACAATGATTAGAACCGTCCCGCCTTATGAGAACATCCGATAAGTTTTGTGTCTTTGAGGGAGATTAGAATGCTTGCACTGTCGTGCTGACTTAGGATTCTCGGCAGAGGAAGGGGAATATTTGCGTCAATGTTTCCTCTGATGGCATTGGCAAAACGCTCCCATTTAGCCACCACGTTCATATATGGGTATTGTCACTTAGCGAGAATTCTCCCTCCGTTACCTTTTTATTTCTTCCTGTTCCCCACTCAGTTGGACCCCAGGAAACCCGGCTGTGATTGCGGCACGTTCTAGCAGCACACGAGGAAATACCACATATTAAGCCGCGTGTGATGTAAATGACCCGCTTAGCAATCCAGAATGTTTTTTACCTTTAGAATTACGTATTGGTAAATCGCGATTACATCAGAGTAATGGAAATCCCATGGTATTCTCTCGCATTTCCTTCATAATCTTTCATTTTCAACTCCTACGTACATTATTTTAAAAAGGTATATACGATACTCACTCACTTCCTACCGCTTCATCTCTCTCTCCCTTTCTCCCTCTCTCTCCCTCTCTCTTCACCCTCTCTCTTCTCCTCTCTCTCTTCCCTCTCTCCCCCCTCTCTCCCCTCTCCCCCCCATCTCTCTCCTCTCTCTCCCTCTCTCTCCCTCTTCTCTCCTCTCCTCCCTCTCTCTCCCTCTCTCTCTTCGCTTTTCCTTTCCCTCTTCTTTCACTGTTCCCCTTTGTCATCTTTTCTCTCTTCTTATGTGTGTTTTCTTTCTATTTTTCTCTCCCTCTTTCTCTCTTTTTCTATTTCCTCTTTCTCGCTCTGTTTTTCTGTCCTTCTCTTCTCATGTCTCTTTCTGACGTCTTTCTGCTCTGCTCTTCTCTGCTCTGACTTTATCTCTCACTCTCTCTCTCACTCTCTCTGACTCTCTCTCTCTCTCTGACTCTCTCTCTCTGACTCTCTCTCTTTCTGACTCTCTCTCTCTCTCTCTCTGACTCTCTCTCTCTCTGACTCTCTCTTTCTCTGACTCTCTCTCTCTAATTTTTTTTTTATTTCAGAACAAACATACATGATTTGCAATTTAAATTAAACATCAGAGTGCACACTTTAAATATATGATGCTGCCAGTTAACTTCCGAAAAACTACCGAATAAATGACAACAGGAGTAAAAAAACACTATGCACCCAGGGTCACCCACAGAAAACTAGAGGCTAAGAGAGTAGATCCAAGGGGGGCCCTTCAAAACAAAACTTCCGGCCCTCCCTTCCCCATATATAAACACAACTCGTTTCACCATGCATCAGAAATAACTTACAAAGATAAAGTAGAGAACGCAGTACACCCTTAGTGAGGCGGGGCGGCAGCGGGGGGGAAGAGAAGGGAGAAGGGGAGGAGGGCAGGGGAGGTGGAGAGGAGTCTCCTTAAGCCCTCCCTTAAATTACGCTAAGCGCTTTGAAGGAAATTAATAAACTTAAAGGACTTTCACTTATCGTAAAGTAAGGAACGCCCTCAAAGAACGGCAAAAAAAGCTCTTAGTCGACCCCTTCCGCACAGAACACTCACGTGCACGAGCAGTGGCCCCAACTTACTGGACTTCCACTCGACACAGCTCCTTCGCTTGTCCAACCTCATCGGACACTTACCCATAGGGCACGTAAATCCTGCAGCAATCAAAACACGTTCTTGCGCTCACTCAATCACAGCCAAACATCCGTGTCAGCGCATCGCGTAATAACACCTTTATTCACATAACAAGAACTCGACACTCAAAAACACAAATAACAAAGAACCGGAAGAGCACAATAAATGTAACTGTACGCCAGCAACGTGGCTAACCACTGCGACAACTATTCTCACACACAAAATCACAGTGCACACCATCATGATTGGGGCACTATTTGATAATGGAGCTCGGACAAATACTAGGATGAAACTTATGACGTGACGATCGTGGCCAATTACGAACCATTAAAATACTATTAAATTACTCGTATATTTCTGAAGTGTATTTTTT